CAGGGCTGTAACTGAATGGAGGGGGAACAATCTCACTACCATTCTTTTCCAACTCTGGCCAGAGGGCATTCTTCTTGATGGTTGCAGTAGAGATTTCCCAGAGGATGCAGTGGCAACAGAAGGTCACGTGCCTGTAGTAGAGAGGACTCTAGGGAGTCAAGAGAGGCTTCTCTTCTCTCCCAGTTATAGGCCTCTAAACAAAGCCAGCGTGGAGTCTTTCTCCAACCCTCCTCTCTTTTGCCACCGTGCTTAAGATGACTCCATTAGAGAGATCAGAGAAAGAAACTTGAGGGTCTCAGTTCAATGTGATTTGGGGTTGGAAAGTAGTAATTTGAATAAGTAATAGCTGAGACGTGTTAAAATATTATCATGAAGGGAATGGAGAGATGGCTCAGTGGTTAAGAGCATTGGCTGCTCTTCCAGAGAACCTGGGTTCAGTTCCCAGCACCCACATGACAGCTTGTACCTGTCTGTAGCTCCAGTTCCAGAGGGCCTGACACCCTCACACAGACACACATGTAGGCTAAGCACCAATGTATGTAAAATAAAAACAATCTGCTAAAATATTATCACGGCCAATACTAAGGGCTGTTGGAATTCTGTTCCTGCAGCCATGTGGTGAGAGAGTTGGAGGCAGGTAGCTATGGGTCCTAGTGACTCCAGATTAGGGCCCAGGAAACAGGCTAATTCAACATCAGTGTAGGTCTTTGGGCTTTCAGTGCTGACCGCTACACTACCCTGATGGTTCGGAGTTTCACTTCTTTTGTGGCATCTTCTTTCCTACTGACCTGATGCTGCTGAACCCTGTCACAAATGATTATGTGGGGATGAGTGACACTTGCATCAGCAACTTTGGGACGGTAGCTGCTGGCTTGGGAAAAGGGCCGCTGTACTGAGCCCTTGAACTCTGAATGTGGAGAAACTCCCTTCACAAGGACAAACTAGGATTAGGAGCAGTGAGGTCCTCTGTGAGTCACAGTTTGGACGGTTGGAGCTGCTGGGCTGTCTGAGTATCACGGTGCATGTGTGGAGAAGCATGGACTTGTGACCCGCCGGCCTCCAGAAGCAGAAGTGGCTAATCCTCCATTCCCCCATCACAGTGCCAGATTCTGGGGTTATATAGGCGTGTGCTAAAATGCCAGGCAATGCTTCCATCTTTTCCCAGGACTTGAGACCCAGAAACCTTTATTTAGGGCCCCAGGCCCCCTGGAACAGAATCCTCCAGAGCCCCAAGGAAGCTGGCGGCTGAGGTTCCTCCCACCTCTCCTCAAGGCCAGCGACCTCTCCCATCTCACCTGCTCAGCTTGGAGACATCTAGGAGCTGCCTTGCTTTCCCATTGCCATGTTGTTCTGAAGCCCCGGATGGAAGAGACCCGATGGGGCTATGGGCCCCGTCAGAGCTGTGAAGGGCTGGTCAGCATGTGGTTACTTTTGAAGTATCGTCCCCGCTCTTCTGGCCGCCGTTCTTCACTTCCTTCCACCCTCAAGCGGCCACCATCGGCTTCTTCACTGATCGCTACAGCCCTCTCCTCCATGGCTGGCCTCCCACCTGCCTTCCCGGCGGCTCCTCACAGTGAATAGAGGCTTCCGTTCTGATCGCACTTCCTCCCATCCAAGGATGCAGTATCATTTCATTTTATTTAAGGACACGGCATCCCTGTAGCTAAGGCTTCCTCAAGCTCCTCATCCTCCCGCCTCTGCCTTTCATCTGTGTCTTCTGACCTTTGTATCTTCTGCCTCCTTTTGCTGCATCTCCATGCTCTCTTCATTCTGCTCTGGTCACACCATCCTCAGTGCTGAGCTTCTCAGACTTACTAAGCTAATTGTTTCCTATGGCCTTTGCCCAGGAAACCCTCAGCCTGGAATGGTCCTGCCTAGACAGATACAGGGCTTGGTCCAGTCAATTTGTGTCTACTCAAATTCTCTGCCCTGTGATCCCTTGCCTCATTTTCCTCCATGTTATTGTGTGGTTCGTGGATACTCTTTCGCTGTCTGAATCTTCCCTGCTAAAATGTTTCCTTCCCCAGCAAAGACTTCATTCTCTCACTGGTGCCTAGAGCACAGCTGGTAAGGTGCATGTATGCAGTGACCATTTGCCAAGTGAATACCCTCATCGCAGCAGTCACCCTCAACTTCACCCCTTAGTGGGCCATGGCTCTCTCATCTATGAAGTGAGGGATGTGAACTCAGGGCTGTCAAGGTCTCTGCCAAATGCACATCAAAGTCAGCCTCCAATCCAAGATACTCAAGAGCTGTATATGGAGCACAGGCCTTGGCTAAAAGGAGGAAGGACTCGGTGGGATGGAGACATCGTTCTCGGGCTTTTGCCAATGGAAGGGTCAATCGCCCAGCTTTTAGAAAGGCCTTTGATTTCATATAACCCGGGAAGTCCCCTCTGTCAGAGAGATGCTTGCTCATATCATGCCTGTCTCGTGGGGATGAGAGCATCAGCTATGCAATGGCACCAGGCTGGTCATCTACAGTCTCCTGACTCTCACTATGAAAGCTGTGTGACCTCCAGGATTCCCTGTGGGGCAGTTGGGTCCCTGCTCAGGTGACAGAGAGTCTTTTCCATTGAACCCTTCTGCCCGCTTCCCAGTGATCCCCAACTAGAATAGTCGTGCAGTCGATAGCAAAGCTGAGTGCATTTGTGAGTGTGCAAGCATGTGGATGTCAGGACAGAGCTGAGCACAGCAGCGCTGACTTTACCCATGATGCCTGGCCTTCATTTTAAGTTAGCCTAGCCAGGGCTGGAGAGATGGCTTAGTGGTAAGAATGTTTGTTGTGGGGCTGGAGAGATGTCTCAGGAGTTAAGAGCACTGCCTGCTCTTCCAGAGGTCCTGAGTTCAATTCCCAGCCAACCACATGGTGGCTCACAACCATCTGTAATGAGATCTTATGCCCTCTTCTGGCATGAAAGCATGCCTGCATGTAGAATACTGTATGCGTGCTAAATAAATCTTATTTTTTTTTTAAAGAAGAGAGAGAATGCTCATTGTGTCGGGTGGTGGTGGCTCATGCCTTTAATCACAGTGTTTGAGAGGCAGAAGCAGGCAGACCTCTATGAGTCTGAGGCCAGCCTGCTCTACAGAACAAGTTCCAGGACAGGTTCCAGAAGTCACACCGAGAAACTCTGTCTCAAAAAACCAAAAATAGAAAAAAAAAAAAAAAAAGAAAGAAGAAAGAAAGAATACTTGTTGCTCTTGTAGGGGACCCAGATTCAGTTCTCAGTACCCACTGATGGTATAACCTTCCATAAATCCAATTCCAGAGACTCTGACCCCTCCTCTGATCTTTGAGGGCATCCAGCACACATATGATGCCCACACACATATACAGGCAAAACATTCGTGCAGAAAATATTTTAAAAATACTTTAAAGTGTCTGAGCTGGTAACGATGGCCATACACCTGTAATCCCCAAATTTAGACTCTTTTTTAAAAAAATATTTATTTATTTATTATGTATACAATATTCTGTCTGCATGTATGCCTGCAGGCCAGAAGAGGGCACCAGACCTTAATACAGGTGGTTGTGAGCCACCATGTGGTTGGCTGGGAATTGAACTCAGGACCTCTGGAAGAGCAGGCAATGCTCTTAACCGCTGAGCCATCTCTCCAGCCTCCCAAATTTAGACTCTTGAAGAAACAGTATTGAGTTTGAGCCTATCCTAGGCCACATAGACCTGCATTGCCTCAAAAACAACTTCAGATGTAGCTCAGTGGAAGAATAGTTGCCTAGAACTGAACGTTTAGGAGCTGGGGCCATGGCTCGGCAGTAGGGTGCTTGGCTAATGTGTGCAGAGGGTTGTGTTTCATCTGTAGCAGCACTGGAACAATGAGGAGTCAACTGCCCTTTACTGCCAAATTCTTGCTAAGGCACAAGCATGCAATGGTTATCCAGAATATAATTCCAACCTCCACGTGATTACTGTGAGAAAATTACAATCTAAAAGTCTAAAATTGTATTGGGGGCATTTAATCCTTAAAGAAGAGGGCAAAGACGGTACTAAGTGAATATAAATTATATGAATATGGTTAAAAATATTTTTAGGAGAACTATGAAAGTTTTGGTGAAAGCAAAAGTGAAGTTTTTAATACCCATACAGTAAACAAGCCTGAAAATGTACTGAGAGACAGGCAGTGTGCACAGTGTGAAGAAAAGGTGTGAACTTACCCTGGGGACTGGGCTCTGTGCCCTTCACCCCAGCAGGGCTTTACTCTGGGGACTGGGCACTGTGCCCTTCACCCCAACAGGGATTTACCCTGGGGACTGGGCACTGCCCTTCACCCCAGCAGGGCTCTTTGTGACTGACCTGTTATGACTGTTGCATTGGTCCCAACACCACAGTCCCTGGTGTGGGGAGGAAGAAAGAATTAACAGGAATTGAGCGCTTAGATGAGTTAAGTTTCAAAAGACGTAAGCCTGTGCTTCAGAGAGTGTCCCCAGCCTGGAGTGTGAATGATTTGCCCACAGGGCTCGGCGATGGGCACTACACTGACTCTCAAACAATTTCCTAAGTGACAAAGCTGGAGGGGGTAGTGGGTAGTTGTACAATCAAACAAAAAATTTGATTTAAAAGTCACAATGTTCTCTTGACTCCGTGGGAAGGAAAAATTGCTCTTGGAAGAACATGAGATTTTTCTAGAAGTTATGAAATATTAAATGGTTGCATACCTTAGTGTCTCAGAATAACAGTTTGTTCTGTTTCAAGGTGAGCCTGGTTTAGGAGGTGCAGTGCTCAGGAGTCAGCAGTCTCAGCACTGGAAGCATAAGAAAGGCTAATAATTCGAGGCCAGCCTCTAATTGGGCCACAGTGATAGCTGCAGTTTGTGCTGAGCTGGAAGCTCTGCCTTCTGGCTCCATCCCCCAAGGCTTTGTGCCACCTATTGTTACTCAGAGTCCAAGGGGTGAGAAATAAAACCCTGTCTGACCCAGCGCTAAGGTGAGGAATGTCTAGTCTTTGTGTCTTAACAAACCATCATGTGATCTGTCTTCAGGTTCATCTTGATCAAGAGGCTCTAATGCCACTTCTGTTTCCCGGTGACATGCTGCTCCCCTGAGAACCACAGTGAGGACACTGGGTGCCCTGGAACCGGAAATGGTGAGTCTATGGCACGTCTCTGGCAAGAAACACAAGCCTGATCGTTCTGTGGGCTTCTTATTTACATTTCACAAACATATAATTTACATCATGGTTTAATGAATAAACACATTTTGCAAATCGGTTTTCTTTGGGCAGGACCCCTGGTAGGTAACCCTGTGCTCCAGGGGATGGCCCTACCTCCAATGCACACTGGGATTCTGTGGGTTATTTAAGGAAAAGAAGGATGTGAAGTTGGGATGGAGAGTTCCAGGGAGAAGAAGGGGTGGGCTGGGTGTGGATAGATAAAATGCATTGTCTAGGCTGGCGGTGAGCACTTGGAAGGCAGAGACTTTGTCAGTGGTCGAGGCGTAGGCAGTTCCTAGCCCAAAGGCTAATTGTGCCAAGAAAAAAACAAACTCCAAGTGGAGTATCTTTGGTGCTCAATATTCTCTTGGGAATAGATTGGTGTGGTCAGAAACAATCGTGTCTCACATCAACATAATTTTAAGTTATTTAAATGCCATGATCTACAGATCCTTGAAGTGGTTGAAGATTACTTAACTAGGCAGAATACAATCTCTCTGTATCTAAAGAACCTAATTAATCTGACTATATGTATAACAAACATGAATAACTATTGGCCTGTAATACTTAATACCTGTATAACTTAAAGACTAAGACTTCATATCAGAATATTAAATAATCTGTAAACAACTGTGAAGTAAATGAGGACAGTGACCTCAAAATGTAAACAATGTATAAGTATCTTGATCATAGGTAGAACTATATAATGCAATATAATAAATATATCCTAAAAATCGTATCAATATTCAAAATGTCTTAAACAGAGGTAGAAACATGCATGTATACAATTGACAAAATAACTTTATTTTATTTGCATAGGTGTACAAATATTGCAAACAAATAACAAAGATAATTTGAACTTGTATCAATATACAAGAATCTATACCAGTGTAAATTGTCCATAAAGAATAGCTCACAAGTATTCATTCTAATACCCACTATTAGTAGTAGTATGAATAAGTTCACACTAAATTACCTATTATCCTATTCAATTTTTCCTCTTTTTTGATTCATTTTTATGTCTATTTTATCATCCAGACCATTATGGTTTTTTTTACAGTCGGCATTGGATTTTTTAAATTTTTTTTGATGAGACATGTTTTCCACAGTAACTGGGGATGATTGGATCATGTTCCACATGAATCCAAAAGGAGTTTCCCAATGGCATTGGCTTCGCTTGTCTGTCTTTTGTCAACCTACACTTATTGGTTTAATGTCGGCCTTTGCAACATCTTCTACATACACCTGAAGGCTGAGTTCTCCTATTCTTGCCATTCCCAGAGGAGATATTATTTCTAGAAACTTTTGCCTGCAGTCCCTTTTCAGATGCTCTATTGCACCACAGTTAAAACTTTTGACATTTTGGCATCTCCTCATCCTGTTGGAAACTGCTTCTCCTATCCAAGCTTTAGTACTATAGTCAAATGTCTCAACATTTATCGTATGTAAGATTCATTTATCTCTTGGTGCTGATCTAACCTTTAAAGGCCCAAGGATCTTTTTGCATTTTAAGCTGGCATTTTCAAAAGCCAAAGATTCAGTGAATACACATCTAACTTCTGGGTCTGTTACTCCTACTTGCACAGCCTTAGTTAATCTTTGTAAAAAGTCACTAAAGGGTTCTTTTTGGCCCTGTTTAACCCTGATATATGATTTAATTCTCTTTCCTGGTTTCTGAATCTTGTCCCAAGCTCTAAAGCTGCTGTGCTACACAGGGACAAAGTGTGTTCATCGTAGAGAGCCTGGTCCTGAGGATCAGAGTAAAGTCCCTCGCTCAGAATTTGATCTTGGGAAATATTAAGTCATATTGCATTTCCCTGTTTTTCTAAAATTTTTGCTTCTTCTCTCCAATAACATTTCCAAAGAAGCTGCGGTCTATCTTCTAGGACCACTGAGATTAATTAAAGCCAATCTTGTGGGGTCCCTAACAAACGGTGAATGGAGGCCATAATTGACTACTGTTTGTCAGATTTCTGTAGACCACTTATACGGATGGGTTTCCATGTATATTTTTTGACTGCCTTAGGTACTTGATGTCAGATGGTCTTTCCGAGGAGATCACTGGATAGGCAGGTAGAACTCTGGGTAAGATATCCCAGAGCATGGTATGTATTGATGAGGCTAAATTTTGTCTTTGTACCTTTTGTCCCTGGTCATCAAATTTGATAAATCTTTCAATCTTTTTAAATCATTTTACCTCTGCCTTTTGTAAAGTCTGGATCTCTGTGAAGTCTGTTCAGTAAAGATAATGTCATCCTTGGATGTATTTTTATGGCATACATATTACCTTCCTGAAGAAACTATCTGTCAATCTATTATAATTGTCAATAGATTTTGATTAATACATGTAAGAGTATGAATTCTCTCAGACAATGTCTCAGCACCCTCTGTCACTGACTGGGTTTTATCTGTCAAATTGGTCATATCCTTTTTTAAAGTGCTAATAATTTTCCCTTTTAGCTGGCCATTATCAGTCTGTAATGACTGTATCATTTCTAAAAGTTCCTCATTCTTGGCTCTATTATCAAACCATTTTTTAAAGGTTTTTTAAGGAGAAAATATGGAAGGCAAAGCTAATCCCTAGAATTAAATATAGTGATGTAGAGGGGAAATAACATAATACTTGCATAATACTATTCATGGTATAAGTAAAAAACTGTTGAGCTCTTGCATCATTAAATTATCTGTCATCTTGACCTTATAAATTACAAATTTGACCTTACAAATCTCACCTGTAATGAGTTGGAGTAGGTGCAATAACCGTTACCGGACAGTAGGTGTCGCAGCTGTAACTCTGTGGCCGGCTTGAACAGTTCGAATTGCTTTTAGCGTGTTAGATACTGAAAAATATGCTCAAATTAAAAGCGGTTATTCAGTGCAAATAACAAACTTTGTGCTCGGTGGAACAGCAAAGCGGCAACACCTGGGGAAGCCCACGCCTCTCCTGCACTTCCCCAGCCTGCCAGGGAAGCTGGACCCAGAAGGGCACGGAGGCCAGAGACTGCTGCTGCAGAGCCGCATCGCGGGGTGCTACGCGGGGCCTGGCAGTGGCTGGCTGAAGGGTCAGTGCCCAAATACCCAGATGCACCATGCGGAGCCTGGCGGCAGCTGGCTACAACTGCAGAGGTCCGGAATCCCCCCAAGCCCCACTGTTGAATGACACGGGTTGAAGAAACCCAGGCTAACTCCAAGATAAACAAATTATATTTACTTTATTATAAGGGGCAAACTTACAAAACAGGAACAAGACGTCCAACCGCAGTTGCATAGTGCGGGAAACACAGAGAGAAAGAGCCCTGGGCAGGCAGGCAGCTTTTCTCTAGGTACCCAAAAGGTCACATCCTAACCTGGTCCAACCTCTTGAAAATCATTGGCTAACAGAGATTCCCCATCAGTGCTGTACCAGAAACCAGAGTCCTTGACCCAGACCAGTGACTCATGGCAATGAACATTTGCAAGTAAAGCTGAGTGGACAAAGGGCAGACTGTGATGCACCTCTGCCAGTGCCACCGGGGTGAAGGAAGAGCTGGTGGAGAGGTGGAAAAGCTAGAGAACTGAGGAGGTTTTTGTTCCGCTTTGTTCTTGTATTTTTGTTTGTTTGTTTGTTTTGTTTTAAATTTTCTTTTGGGAGGGCACTGCATGGGTGAGGGGGACTGGAAAGTGACTGGAATTAGGGTACAAACTATGAAATTCCCAAAGAATCAATAAAGAAATTATGCTTTAAAAAAAACACACAGTAGACTCTACATACCAACCACAGAGAGTCCAAGAAGGAGATAATAGAAGTACTCCCATTTACAATAGCCTCAAGATATATAAAATATCTAGGAATAACCCTAACCAAGGAAGTAAAGGATGTCTAGAATGAAATCTTTAATGAAATCTCTGAAGAAAGACATTGAAGAACTCACTAGAAAAATGGAAAAACCTGGACTGGTAGAACTGAAATTGTGAAAATGGCTGTTATCATTCATGATGCAGGTGACCCTGGCAGGTCCCCTGGCGGGCAGGGGATGGATAAGCCACGCAGAGAGAGCCTAAGTATAAAGTTTATTTAGTGGGGATTGGGAAGGGTAGAAGGTATAAGGGTAAGGATTATAAAGGGGAGATGGTGCAGGAGAATTGTACGTATTCTGTCAATCGTGTTTTAAATAAACACTGATTGGCCAGGCAGGAAGTATAGGTGGGAAAATCAGACAGGAAGTAGAAATGATGCAATGAGAACAGGAGAATTCTGGGAAGGAGGAAGCTGATTCCTTCTACTCCTACCCAGATCACCGAAGCAGCAGGATGTGATCTGCCAGCTGGAAAAGGTACTGAGCCTATGGCTAAAATAGATCAGAAAAATGGGTTAATATAAGCTATAAGAACTAATAAGAAGCCTGACCTAATGGGCCAATCAGCTATATAACTTATGGAAACCTCTGTGTGATTTTCTTTGGGGCTAAACAGCTGTGGGAACTGGGCAGGACAGAAAGCACAAACAAGCAGGTCCTTCATGTTACAGGGAGAGAGAAAGAGAGAGAGTTAGAGGGACAGAGAAAGAAAAGAAAGGAAGAAAGGGAAGGGAGAGGCAGAAACTGCCGCTTCAGAAGAAGGATGGAGAGAGAGGGAGGAAGGGAGGGAGGGAGGGAAAGAGAGATGGAGAGGAGGCAGTAGATCAGTAGATCTGTTTGGCAGGAAGGGGGAGATTGGGAGTGGGTGGGGCTTGTCTCTTAAAAGGATAGGTGATAGGGCAGACCAGCATATCTATTACAACAGACTGTTCTACCAAAAGCAATTTATAGGTTCAGCACAATCTCTGTCAAAATTCCCATAGTGTTCTACATGCCCACATGTACACACACATACATGTGCACAAAAATAGGTAGATAGATAATTCTGAAATTCACACAGAACCACAAAAGTCCTAGCTAGGCAAAGCAATCCAAAACAAAGAAACGTGCTGGAAGGACGGTTATAGATTTCAGGCTATGTTACAGAGCCATGGTAATGAAAACGACGTGGTACTGTCACAAAACAAACATGGAGGTCAGCAGAACAAAGTAGAAGATCCAAACATGGTTGCATCTAATTATAGGCATCTCAGTTTGTCAAAAGATGTCCCAAAACGCATTGGAGAAAAGACAGCATCTTCGATAAATGATGCTGGGAAAACTGGATGTCTGTACAGCAAAGAGTAAAATTAGCCCCTTATCTACCACCCTGCATGGAAGTCAACTCTCAGTAGATCAAAGGGGTCCATGTGGAGCCGGGAGCACTGGAACTGTGGGAAGAAAGCAAGGTAGCGCCCTATCAGATGTAGTGTGGGAAGTGAGCTTTTCAGTATTTCCCAGGAGCTAAGGCCAATGATTGACAATAATTTATATCCATACTATACAAAATTCTCTAAATCAAAGAGAAAAAATGCATCCAAGGAGAGTTTTCAAAAAGAGAAATAGAAATGTGTAGGAATATCTCAGAAACTGTTCACTATCCTTAACAATTGGGGGCATGCTATTTAATACTACTATGAGATTTTATCTCATGCCAGACCAAGGGAACAACAGACAGCAAATGCTGACTGGTATGCAGAGAATGGAACCCTAATTCACTATATGGGGATGCAAACTGGTGTAACCAGTGTGGTGAATTCTCCAAAAGCTAAAATCAGATCTCCCATATGACCCAGTTACACCACTCCTTGGCATATACCCTAAAGATGTATATATTATTGATTGAAGCATTATTAGGATAAGATACCTCTTTTGGAAATTGTGTTGGGTGTCTGTAAGTTCCTGGCTTCCTGATAGAATGCAGAGCGAGGGCCTTCTTCTTCCCACGTCTGGTAATCCTTTGTCTTTTTGGGTAGCTGCACCTCTGCCCTAAGGCTCACCTCTTGTCCCTGGGCTTTCCATATGTGTAGGAAGCAAGCTATCAAATCCAGAATGCTGACCATCCTGTGTCTGGAGACGAAGTCCTAAGATTCTCCTCCCTGCAAGCATTCCCATGCATTAAACCCCTCTTCCCACATTGCTATTAAGTATTTGTTTCTCCTGGCGCATGCTTTATACAGTCAGTGTTTTGTCTTTTTCTCAGCACTGGAGCGAAGACTTTTTAAAGAATGCTATAATTACTTACGGGCATTTTCCATAAGAGCAAAGCTGAGAAGATTGACTTGATTTCATATAAACAATCTTTGTATTTCCTCCTTCCATAGACTCAACCCTTGTCAGACTGCCTGTTGATTGACTGTCCCCTCAAACCTTGTATGCATGTCCAGTGCTTCAGCATTGCGACACCACCATGTCATCTGCAACATTCATGTTCAATTCATGTTCAAGATCCACACAACTGAGTCACCAAAGAGATCTCAGTGATCTGTGTTGTCTCCTTTTCTGTAACACCACTAGGGACTGGAGACCATGGAAGACATTATCCTCCAAAATCATTTGTCTCTCTGAGCTGCAGGGAGATTGGCATGTGCCTAGGTCCCTTTCCTCCAGAGCTGGGGAGTTTAGCCTGTATTCCCTCCATGTGAGTTTGTTAAAGCTGCAGTATTCAGAGCAGACTAGATTTCTGTAAGGTAAGGCTAAGGTAAGGTAAGGCCTGGGCTCAGGAAGGTCTAAGATCTGCCAGATTGCTAGAGCTTTCTGTTCTTTCTGCCCTGTTCATTTCTGTGGGCAAGTACGATAAAAGTTTGATTATTGGCAGCAGCAGTAAGGAAACCTTGTTTGAAGTTACCTTCCAGGAGGAAATTCTGTGAGTTTTTGCCCTCTTCTGCCCTGGTTCCTTAGGATGAAGCCAGTGGAAACACACACTGTGTGTAGAATTCCATTTTTTTTTTTATCTGTGCTCTAGATGGACTTGTGTGGATGAAACAGCAGAGTTTAGGTAACTGTCTTTCTCCCTTCAGAGTGATGTTAGTGGTTCGGAATTGTTTTTTCATTACAGAGTATACTGGCCCAATGTAGAACTCATGCTTGTGTGTGCCCTGACATTCCAAACTCATTTATATGGTTGTTGTCTAAACTATACAGAATTTGGAAGTCTGTAGATCATATACTTTTCAGAAGGGCCTCAGATATGTATAGATATTTATTGCTTGTGTCCATGTGTAGAGGAAAAATCAAGTTTCTACTACTTAGGACTTTTAAAACATTTTGCATGCATGACCACTTTTCATCTGAGTTATTTTATATGATCCTAGTATACAAATGGCTCAAAGATTTACTGATGAGAAACCATAAAGAAGTTATTTTAAAACAATTCTTTGGTATACATACAATTTTAATTAAAGATGAAGGCAAGGTGCATACTAAGTCATGAAAGGCTTATGTTTCTAACAATACAGTTCAGATATGTACTAGTTTGATGCTTAGATGAAGAATATTGAAAATGTTAAATCTTTCTATAATTAAGCCGTCATGTCTCTGTGGGAGTGGGAAATGTATTTACAATAGAAACAGCATAGTTTAAAACATACGCGTGAGCCAAAGCTTTTCTGGACATTTTCCCTGGAGGTGTGCGGTGGACTCATGGCAGGAAGGTGATGAGTGCTCTTACAACAGCTACCCCAAAGTCCCGTGGGGCAGCACGGGTGAGCGCTGCCCCACACCCCTTAGATTCATACACACTTGATTCAGAATTAATTTTTGGTTAACACATATTCAGGAAACCTTAAGTGTTGACAAATTTTCCCCAACATCTACACCAGTTTACATGATTCCGTGTGGATTCCGCAGTTGCACCAGGCTCTGGGAATTGAACTCACGGCCCTGCCATCCACTTGCACTATACCACAGCGGGGTGCTCCCAGCCCCAGCATTTGCCTTTGCATTGTTCTGCTTTACAGATTTAATGTCATTTTTATGTGGTTACATGTATCTATGTCTGTCTTTTGCTCATAATAATACAGACCATGTATTACAGACATGTAATAATACAGACATGCGTGTGCATGTATTCCTCTATGAATTTGTGTTTCTGTTGTAATTCCTTAGAAAAGTTTCTGGTCATATTTTTTTGAATCACAAGATTAACACATAGATAAGACTTTTGTGTTGATTTTTTTCTTCTATCATAATACAGAATTCAAAACAGGCTACATTTTTATAAGTCACTGATAAGACATATATACACATGAAACAATCAATTCCTATTTTCTGTTCCTGAGGCTGAGCACAGCTTGGATTGAAGACAAATTTGTCGTTCTAGGTGTTGGTGTCATTTGAGGACGTGGCCGTGGACTTCACCCGGGAGGAGTGGCAGGACCTGGATGCTGCTCAGAGAACACTCTACAGGGACGTGATGCTGGAGACCTACAGCAGCCTGGTGTCCTTGGGTGAGTCAGACTCCCATAGTTCTCAGAGGTACCAGTTGTAGAATTGTTGCTTACTTTTAATGCTAATTTGATATTGTACATTTTAATTGGCATGGCAATGATACACATGTATAAAGAACAGTGTAGCTTTGTAATGCACATCGTGTATAATGATCTGGTTGATGTTAACTGATAGTGTATCAGCCCTGGGTTCACTTGTTTGTATTGGGAACATTTAAATCTCTCTCATGTTATTTTAGAATATTTAGTTGGTGTCGTATATTTGTGTGCAATAGTAATAGTATTGTAGGACTTACACTAGGCCTCCCTTCGTGCTGTATCCTGCTGATGCTTGCCTTCTCCCCCTCCCCATGCCCTGTGTCTTGCCCTTGCTCTAGTCCCTACTGTTTTTCTCTCTGTTTGAGGCCACCTTTAGTTTGCAAGTCTGATGAGAACACAGAGGACTTTTCATTTCGTGCCTGACTCATTTCTTCTACACACTGTAACTTTCCTGGAGAGACTTAGGAAAAATGTGTTTGCTCCAAATACAAATGGAGTTTTATTACCCAAAGAAAGAATTCATCAGTGCTTGGTGAATATATGAGTTTATTGGGTTTATTTAGTGAGTAAATGTAACTCTCAGATATACAAAAAAAAAAAAAAGCAAAAAAAGCCTCCAGCCTTAGTTAGTTCTTACTTACAGTTTTACCAACCTACAGGTGGGCAAAAGTGTGCCCAGGCTGGAATCTCAGCAGAGAAATTCATGATAGTCTCGTAAGGGGATGCTACCAATCCCGGTCCCCTCCATATCGTTACGTATCTTTGTTCATTTCATTGCCATGACTTTGTGCCAAGATCATCCTGTGTTTTAAGATGGTGCCAATCTTTTGAAGCCCAGAATAACAGCCATACTACGGATAACAGAATGGCCTGCTTGCCTGCCACTGTGACCAATGTTATTTTAAATTTGTATGTGCCACACTTCTCTACTTACATTCCTTTGTTGAAGAATGCCTATGTCAGAGTTCCCTGGAGACGCTGAAGTCACTTCCTTTGACTGTGTGTGGCCAGCAGTGGCACAGTGTTGATGTCATTCTGGGTCCAGTTTTTACAACCATTATATTGTATTTTCAAGTGGCTGCACTAACATATATTGCTACTATCTGTTTGTGTAACTTTTTAGCATTTTTATTTTGTATATTAAAAATAACATTCTATCTATAATTCAGTGGTAAGGCATTTGGGAAAAATTTCTTTCAATTTTACTTGTAAACATATTTGTATATCATGTTTGGAAAATATCAATTTAGACTGTTTGCCCAGATTTAATGAGAGCTTTCACTTTTCTGTGTTTAGTGAATGAGATCCTTTATATGGTCTAGAATTTAATCGCTTGCTGAATAAGTAATTTTCCAGTATTTTCTCATTCTAAACATGACATTTAGTCTAATATAATCTCATTTGTTGGTTTTGCTTCTGTTGACTGGATTGGCATATATTAAAAGACTCCATCTGAATCATTGTTCCAAGTTTTAGAGTTCCAGATCTTACATGTAATTCTATGATCCATTTGTAATTGATTTCTCTATATAGTATGAAAAGAGTCTAGTCTTTTGTTTGTTTTCAATACAGTGATCCCTTTCTATAGCATGTAAATATCCAGGTTTCGCAGAATAATTGATTCGTGAGAATGTACTTCTTTTCTGAATGTAAGTTCTGATGCCTCTGTTGAGTGAGAAGCTGGGGAGTGCATGTGCACCTCAGCTCCCTAGCCCTCTGGTGCCATGGGAAAGGGAAGATGTGTTTTAGCTCTAGGAGGTCAGAGGTTTCATGTGACATTCTTTTGGGCCTTTTTATAACGTGGATTCTTTGTTGAGAGAGCCTTGTAGCAGGGAACACATTGCAGGGCAAGGCTTCTCAGCTCAGTAGGAGGAAAGGTAGAGGATGACACCTCAGTACCCCTGCAAAGTGTGTTCCAGTGAGCTGGGTTCCCTTAATGCCCCTGCAAAGTATGTCCCAGTGAGTTGGGTTTCCTCAATACCCCTGCAAAGTGTGTCCCAGTGAGCTCCTTTCTTTCCCCTTTAACTTTACCTGCTGATTGCATAGCAGAGCACTGACCAGCACCTGCCCACCTGGTCTCTGGAGTGCATTTTTGATCCATACTAATTATGCGTGGATTTTGTTTTGCTTTATTCTTAACTGTGTGTACAGAGTGTTTCGTGCTCGTTCATTTCTATATGGAAGTACTGTGTCTCTGGCATGAGGCTCACTTGGTCATTTTTGTAGTAGTTATGTCCTCATTTGTTGCATTTTCTATTCTGTGGAGATGATTTATGTCTTTATTTGTTGGAGATATCAGATCTGTCATTTGGATCTTGTGTCTTTATCTGGGTTGAAAGTCATTGTAATAGCTAGTATGTAACGTAACCACTGGGAACTTGGCTCTTCCTGTAATAGGTGATCATTTATAAGTGACTGTAGGCTTCCTTCCTTGTGTTTTTAGGATTCTCTTTGTCTTGGAGTTCTTCTAGTTTGGATGTAAGTGATTTGTTGGTCCAAATCTTTTAGGTTCTATTGGACATGCCTGTCTGCGCTTTTATAACCATTCTCTTTTCTTCTGGAACACAAATAATGTGAATGTCTGTTTTCTTAAAAGGACCATGTTGCTGGGTGGTGGTGGTAGCACACGCCTTTAATCCCAGCACTTGGGAGGCAGAGGCAGACAGATCTCTGTGAGTTTGAGGCCAACCTGATCTACAAAGCAAGTTTCAGGACAGCCAGGACTGTTATACAGAGAAACCCTGTCTGGAAAAAGGGGGGTGGAGGGAAAGGAATTATGTTCTCATATATATTCTTTTATTTTTAATTTTTTTTGTGTATGGATATTTTGCCTTTTTTAAATGTCTGTGCACCACTTGTGTGCCTGGTGTCCTTGAAGGCCAGAAGAGGGCGTTAGAGGTGTTGGAGCTGGAGCTTCAGATGGTTGTGATGGGGCAGCCTGTGCTTGTAACTACTGAGCAGACTCTCTAAACCCTGCCTTCTCTTCTTTCCAATTCTTTAATCTGCTTTTCTTGTTTAAGGTAGCCAGTCTTTGTCTCCGTGTTTCTCTCTGCATGGTCACTCCAGCTGTGTGTTTTGTTTTTTCCTTTGATCAGTTGAGCTCTTCCCTTACAAATCTTCTGGGTGGTTCTTTCTTTATGACTACTTTTCTTTTTTAATTTATCCTTTATAGCAGTCAAATTGTCTCTCGAGTTTCCTTAAGTCAGCGCTTGTACATGACTGCTGGGGACTGAGCTCAGGTCCTTGTACTTCCATAACAGGAACTTTACCCACTGTTCCACCATTTCCCTGGGAGGTTTCTTAAAATCCTTAAGTGCCACTTGGGGACAACACGTTCATCAGTGGAGAGTGTGAGTGAAAACCTACTTTAATAAAACTGTGTAAATCCCTGAGAGCTGGGCTGTAGCTCGATTGAGCGACTTTCCTACCTTGTGTAAGGCCACAGGTTTAGTCTCCAGCGCACCCAAAAAATAAATAAATAAAAAGAAAGAAAGGAAGGAAGAAGTGTCTAATCGCCTCCCATCAGTGGCCTTGATTAGCACTTGGTCACAACCCCTGCATTATTTCTCATTCACAGGGCGCTGCATGACCAAACCTGAGTTGATCTTCAACTTAGAGCACGGACTTGGGCCGTGGAGCACAGCAGATGGCTCGGTCTGGAGCCTCTCAGGTCAGTGAATGAACGAGGAGAGAAAGGGTGGGATACAGGGGCCATCAGATTGTTCATCTCGGACAGGTTTTCAACAAGATCCGTCTAAACCCAGTCCTGAGGACAGCTTGCCTCCTAGACCAGACACCTGTCCTATCCGGTTTCCCCGACGTTCTGTGTTAAACTACCCGTTTCTTGATGTTGAGGAATGGCTTTTTGTTGTTCTGCCGCTCTTCAGAACGACCCGAGGCTTTCCCTGGGTCTCCCTTCCCTCTATCACTGTATGGTGTAAGTTAGGCTTTTATTGACATTATTTCAGTACCAGCTTTTTGACTAGTGCTTGTCTTTGCAATTATCCTGATCCTTAATCACACACAAATTCTTCTCCTCTTAAAATGCTTCCATATAGTGTGAGAAAAGTAGAGCAAGGTGCATGTGTTGTGGTGAGATAGACAGCACAGAGAATGTTTCTCAGGCGCATAGGGGAGAACATGGGGCTTTAGAGGGGGAAATAGTAAAGAACTTTTCATTTATTTCAGTTTTACTGTGCGATGACTATTTTCCACATTTGCCATGGAGTACACACGTGGGTTTGAATTTAAGCCTAGCTAGGGAATCTGATTAGAAGCCACCAGCCAAACAAGAGTCTAGTTTGGCTGTACTTGTGTGGCCTGTGGACAGAGGACATCAGAAGTCACAGGGTTGGATGACACACGAGCTGTGGAAATCTGAAGTCGGAGTCACAAAGGTGAGCGTGGAGTGAGCCGAGAGAAGGATGGAGAAAGAGCCCTGCGCAGTCACCGAACACTGGAGACCAAAAGCCGAGGCACGCTCAGATGAGTTGTGGATGAGAGAGAGTCCCGAGAGAGAGAGAGAGAGAGAGAGAGAGAGAGAGAGAGAGAGAGAGAGAGCTTGGTCAGTAAAGTGCTTGCCTTCAAAGGCCGCAGACCTGAGTTTCTGTACACAAGTACAAAAATTAAGACATGGTTTGGGGGCCCATGGTTGTAAACTTGGTGCTTCGGAGTTGGAGACAGGCAGACCCCTGGGGCTTGATGGCCAGCCAGTCTCATAAATTGCTGAACCTCAGGTCCCAGTGAGAGACATTGTCTCAAACAAGGAAGCAATACCTGAGGTTCATCCTCTGAGTTCCCCATGTGTGTGCACACATGTTCATACACACAAACACACGGCCTGTGAACCTACATGAGCCTGCATGTACAAGGTCATTTTAACTCTTGTATGAAAAATTTGACTTCTTGGGTAAGAAATTCAGCAGAGTAATTCTGAAAAAAGATACAATCTCAGATCTGGGAAAAGAAAAAGCTAAATTAAAAACAGAAACAAAAAACACTCTTTGGAAAGTACACAATGGGGAAGAAATAATCTCAGTGATTTGTTTAAAGAAAACATTGAGCAAGTGTAACAATTACATAGTAATAAGGGGAAGAAAGAAGAACGGTTGTCAGCACTTCTAGACCGAAGAGCTCTTGGGAAGTTTTATGCGGTATCTAATCTGTGAATCTTTTATTAAACAGTGAATTGAGAGTAAGGTCAACACGAAACATACTCCATGAAATTAGTGTATAATATTATACAAACCTTGGCCAAGAGACAGGTGTCCACATATACGGTATTTACAACTACAAGTTGGTAGACTCTGAGAATACTTCCTCAGAGGTTGTTATAGTTAAGATGTCCAGAGGACAGAATATGGGCAGAGTATTGAAAAGTATAAGCAAAATGTGTGGTTAGTTTGTTTGGGTTTGGTTTGTTTTTGAGACAGGATCTCACTATGTAGCTCTGGCTGGTCTGGAACATTATGTAGATCCAGCTGGCCTTGAACTCGCAGAGATCTCCAGAATGCTGGCATTAAACATGCGTGCCACCACGCCCAGTAGTTCCTTTTGAATATAAGTCTACTATCATAGCTGATTAACAGAAACTCTGAATTCCAGAAAGTATAGTCTTTGGTGTTTTTAAACCCTGAAAATATAAACTGCCAATCAAGATTACTCTATGAAGCAAAGTCTAAAATCAGATAATGTTATGAATTTCTGTGATGGGCATAGATGGAATCACTCCATGAATGCTAAGTCACTATTACAGAAGATACTTAAAACAAAGTAACAACATTCTTTTTGTAGAGACAAGCCACAAGCAACATTTCCTATAAAAAACAATCATTCCCACAAAACCCCATGGAAGATCCTGCTGTTCAAAGCAAAGTGCACTATCTGAAACAAAGTAGCAGTCTTCACCCTAACGTGTGGTATACTAGGGAGAGAGAATGTTTATAACCTACGTCCTAAAGGTAGGTAGTAGAAGAGGGTTTCCTGTTTCACAGATGAAGGAGCGTGGCAGGATACATTTAGAAACCAGAGAAACAGGGCAGGTAGAATAATGAGAGGGAACATCACTATAAATAGAATGAAAGGGAATGTCGCTATAAAGACACCTGCAGCTGAGAAACGGGTTGGGTGTTTATTGCCATGCATTTCAACAGAGCAGCAATGCAGCAGAGAACCACGACTTAACACTGCAATATTTCTCGGTGTTGTTTTGTTCTAATTCATTAAAGACTAGGATGTGTACAGTTATAAGATGATATTTTAAAAGTTCAAATGTATATTGGGCAGTAGTGGTGCACGCCTTTACTGCTAACACTTGGGAGACAGAGGCAGGCGGATCTTGTGTTTGAATTATATAAAACTTGTGCCCAATTCATAGTAGTTGAAATTTTTCCCATTTTCAGGTGTCAACAAAATGAGTAGCCTGGTTGAGACCGGCCAGAAAAATGGAGACAGACATTTCTGGCGAATTGAAATCAACAGCAATGCATCAAACGAGGAACTCATTGAAGTAGGTAAAGCTGCTGTCAGCCCAAACTGTGCCCTGACTGAGTTCATTTTCTCGGCCAGCTGAAGAATAGAAAGGCAAAAACAGGAAAGGCGGGCAGTATTGTAGGTGCAACAGTGCAACAGCTAGTCTCAAGGGAAATAGCAGACGGAGCAGGCAGATCGTCCTGGAGAAAGCTGCTCCCAAGGGTGAGGAAACACAACGAGGCATACAGAGAAAGACTTTACGGAACCAAGGGGCCCCAGGAGCCTGAAACCCAATTCCTTATTAAGGGCATGGGGATTTCAAGGGTATTTGAGTCTCAAGTGGTCTTCACCCCTAATTTAGGGTTGGTCTATCTGAACAAAGAGAGAGTGGCTAACAGGCCCTTAACTTTGGTGGGAACATGTACTGACCCACCCTGCACTGGTGGAGACCATCACCACGGCGCCCTCCTGGCGGCAGCAGAAGCCCACCAGGCCTTTCTTTTAAGCTACCAGGCTTTTTTCTCAGGTCAGGAAAGTGGGGAAGATGCTGCTATCGTGGAAGTTCACCTTCTTTATTACCTAGTTATAGCCCCTCTTCCTATCTGGCCACCCACCAGGGACCTAACGCCATGTCCCTCCAAACCATATTCCAACTTTGAACATGGAAAGTAGAAACTGCTTTAGGAATGTTTCCGTGGGATGAACTTCTCAGTAGTGACCCTGCTGAGATGTGGGCTACAAAAGAATCTGACCATTTTACAGTGACCAAAACCCTCCTGTTACCCTGTGCTTCTGGGTAACACACAGTTAATCATGCCATTTTGATTCAAGAAAAACCTACAAAGGCGGGGTTGGTAACAGAAAAGGTTTCATTTGTAGAGGAGCTCTAGTAAGCTCAGTGGATATAGGAAATCCTGTGATAAGGCGTGACTTATCCAAGTCGTGGCATGGATTAGGATGCAGAATTGCAATAGGATGTATCTGAGACAACATTCTTTGACTAAATTCATCCAGTAAATAAAGTAAAATAGACAGCAGAGAGAAATTATTTCAATGTGTGGTTGTGAGAAATGTCACTAAGAAATCATGATAAGCAAAACATAGTAAAATGTATAGGACTTTCCCTGTGAATACGAGGAATTTAGCAAACCCTTCTGTCTTCAGGCAGAACTAAAGATACATGAGGAAATCCACCATGGAACAAAGTCCTTTGAATGTGAAGTGTGTTTGGAAGCGTTGTACCTGAAGTCAGACTGTAGCAGAAATCAGAGGTATCACACGTGTGAGAATCCGTACGAATGTAAGGAGTGTAGACAAGCTTTCTATCCTAAATCTACCTTCAGTCAGTGTCAGAGGCTCGAGAGGGGCGAGAAGCCCCACGCTTGCATGGAATGTGGGAAGACCTTCTACTGCAAGTCCCACCTGACCGTCCACCAGAGGACACACACGGGCGAGAAGCCCTATGAATGTAAAGACTGCGGTAAAGCTTTCTACAGCAAGTCACAGCTCAACGTCCACCTGCGGATTCATACAGGGGAGAAACCGTATGAATGCAAAGACTGTAGAAAAGCCTTCTACCGCAACTCCGACCTGACCGTCCACCAGAGGACGCACACAGGCGAGAAGCCCTACGAATGTAAAGTCTGCCATAAAGCCTTCTACTGCAATTCCCAGCTCACCGTCCACCACAGGACGCACACGGGTGAGAAGCCCTACGAATGTCACGTGTGTACAAAAGCCTTCTACTGCAAGTCACAGCTCGCGGTCCACCACAGGACGCACACCGGCGAGAAGCCCTATGAATGTAAAGAGTGCAGGAAGGCCTTCCAGTGCCGGTCAGACCTCACTCGGCACTGGAGAACGCACACTGGCGAGAGGCCGTATGAGTGTAACGAGTGCAGGAAGGCCTTCTATCGCAAGTCAGACCTGACTGTCCATCAGAGGACCCACACAGGCGAGAAGCCCTATGCATGTAAAGAATGCAGGAAAGCCTTCTACTGCAATTCCCAGCTGACTGTCCATCAGAGATATCACACGGGTGAGAAGCCGTACGAATGTCAGGACTGTGGGAAAGCCTTCCAGTGCAAGTATGAGCTCACGCGACATCAGAGAACACATACAGGCGAGAAGCCGTACGTGTGCCTGGAATGCAAGAAGGGTTTCTACACCAAGTCAGACCTCACTCGACATCTGAAAACGCATGCAGGTGACAAACCCTGAGTACGGAGGACGCAGTAAAGCCTGACACAGCCAGTCCGTCTCGAAGTGGCATCAGAGAACACATATAAAAACTAGTGCCATAAGATTAGCCCTTAATATCAGAATTCATGCAGATGCAAAAATACCCATGAAAACAAAGTAAGACAGCTCTCTGCTTTATCTCATCTCCATGTGCAGACCAGTACATTTAGGGAGCGTGAGCAAACTGTGTGGTCAGAGCTCATGGGTCATCATGTAGCATATACAGGCGAACGGCCCTTTGGATATAAAAAACACTAGAACACTTTTTTAAACCATAAAGTGCATTCGATGGGCAGAAAAGCTCATACAGGTAGACCTTATCAATATATATATCACAGAAAACTTTGATACCTAAGTCAGACCTCAGTCTACATCAGAAACCTCATAAAGATGAAGTTGTGTACAGCAAATGATTTGGCCAGATACGGGTGTTCATCCTGACCCGTGTGGGTGGTCTTGGCAGAGACACATAGGGACTTGATCTGTGCCAGCATAGCAAGACACCAGACCCAAAGATGGGGAGAGCCAGGTGTGGTGGTGCACATCTTTAATCCTAGCACTCAGGAGGCAGTGTCATGTGGACCGCTGAGTTTGAGGCTAACCTGGCCAACATAGCGTGTTCTGGGCCAACTAGGGCTATACAGTGAAAGTCTGCCACAAAAGTGAGAAATCTTCAATGTCAGTAGATGCCACGTTGTTGTTAAACCATAGGAAAGTAAAAGATGTCAGAAACTTTAATACTTGGAACTCAGCTGACATCAGAACACAAGAAAAGGATGGTAAAGCATCAGCGTGTTTACAGGCGTGTAGGTGCCACATTTCTCCTGGCCTTGCGTCAGTATAGTAATCTCAGTATTTGTCTGCGTACACACGCTCTAGAAACCCCATCACCACAGACGCTAGGGGCTGCACTCACACGGTAGCAAGCATGGCATCGGTTGTGAGAGTGGGAACATGTCTGCATTTTTAAATGAGTTGAACTGGGATGTGGCTCAGTCCCAGTGCCCTTGGGAAGCACATGTGTTTCCTCTCCGTTTGTATCTTGAAGGTTCTTACAAGTCACCCAGACTCTCAGCATTCATGCTCACCAAACAGTTTTTACAGAGTATAAGCAGTTGTGAAGAGGTTGTAACAAATCGATCATACCTTATTTTGAGCATCTTTTTTAGCCTGAGCTGTTCTCATATTCATGGCAATACTGCTTTGTGCTCTTGAGAGTTTGGATTAGAGGAATGGTCTTCCATGCAACCATATATTTCTTTAATGTGTGAAATTTTTCAGTAAAATTTCAACATTTTTATACATCATAAATTTGGGGGAGAAAATTTCAGTTTATGTAACTTGCATGTTAATTTCCATATGGAATTGTTTGAAATGATATTGGAATTTAAGCATTCAACTGTATACTACCAAATAAACACAATGGTATTTCCAGCCAGTGTATATTAGGCTTTTTCTTTGGGCATTTATATGTTCTCATACCTAGAGTTTGGTAGTGGTTAATGAATGTAGTAGACAAAGACCAACAATGCTGGTAAAAGATCTAGTAGTACACAATTCCTCCACAACAGAAATTTTTCTGTATGTTAGTATTTTGTGTTAATACTTTGCCTGTAGAATACTCAGCATGATGGTATAGAAAATACGTATACTTTGTATAAGAAATAATAGTAGAAGAAAATGGGTGTGGTAGGATACAAACCTTTGTATGTATGTAGTCTTGATGGGAATCTTCATTATACATTAGATAGATGGATAGATAGATAGATAGATAGATAGATAGATAGATAGATAGATAGAT